AATAGAACTAACTTCGCGGGAGGAAGGCAACATTCGGGTGCTCACCTAAGAGCAAAGTATCTTAAGGAAACCTGGACCTAGGAAATATATGATCACAGTTCCAGTGGACAAAAAAATATGCTACAGTGATTGCGGACAAGATAGAGTATATCAAGAAAGCCAAAAGCTATTTGAGGATGGAAACAGTAACAAATCAGTGGACACAAATACAGTCAAAAAGATGGTCAGCTGGAAAAACTATCAGTATTATGTGAAGGAATTCGAATATTTCCCGTTCATATGAAGTTTGTGGTAAGGGTTTTCAGAAGAACAACGAAAGCTTCAGAAGATAAACCATACAACTTATAGAACGCAACTCTGCCAAATATATCCATCGGAGCTGCGAATCTACCCCTATCTCAGCTTCCAACATTTATTTTCAAGTGAAACATAATCGTAGAAAGCTGCGTTGCGTTTGTCAAAATAAGAATATAAAATCGCAGAAAGAAATTTAGGTTATATCTCAAACCCCAACACTTAAGAAAGCATTGATTGACTTTAGGAAAAATCCGTGGTTAACTTCAAATAAGAGAAAGAGATTCCAAGTTTCACCGGAAATTTTCAAATGTATTGACAAGCTTTCATCTAAACTTGAAAAAACGATTGTGGAATTTCCGGAGTAGTTTCAAGAATTCCAGCTGCCTCAAGTTAAATTTATCTAAAATTAAAGCGAAGTCATGTTCACTTTCTTCTTTTTTCCCAAAATTGAAACACCGTACGGCGAGAGTTTCCACAGAAATCTGGTTCATTTGCACGATTTCTGGAATAAACCAAAAAAGTCAGAAAACGCTATTTCAACACAAGACAGTTAAATATACAAAGAAATAATCTAACAGTGAAATAACAGTTTTGAAAGCAATAATTACCACTCAGAAGCAAAATTACCCGTCATAGTGGAAAGATGTCATATTTGAATACATACGTCAGGAGTAGGTCGATCCTGTGTTGGGAGCTACGTTTATTAACCGAAAGAATCTACATCGTTTTGATACAACAACCTGTAGAGAATATTTCATACCGCCCGAATCTGAAGAAACAACCGCTCTAATTGAATACGTCTATCCAGTTCACATACAAACGTTCCGTCAATTATATGAGTTTTCGTTAAAAAAACTAATTATCTTCCTATACACAATTAGGAAAACACTAAGCTTAATCACATACATAGATCACATTAGATTTCATTAGAACAAACTGATGAAGTCGGTAGGTATTTGTTCTTTAACGACTTAATATTCTCCATCTCAGTGTTGGAGTTCACATCATGACTCAAAATCAGTACGTTTCGCTGCAAAAACCTACAAGGTTATACACTAAACTGAAGAGTCCAGATAACCACTAGGTTATTACGACGGTTATAATATTGTTACGTTTATTATTCGTCCGCCAAAACTTATCTCAATCTAGATTGATGCCTTGACTTGATAGGCTATCTAGTTAAAGATTGAGAAAGATTGTAACTAATGCCTCCGAGGCAGAGCGACTAAAATTATTCTCTCAACTGATTGGTTGACAAATGGGAGAGAGAGAGATGAAGAAGATGGGTCACATTAAACTGATTGTAGTTTTTTTGGTACCACTAATATTAATTTTTGATAGTATGACTATATACACATTGAAGAAATAGTGAATATCAGTAGTTGGGATCATGAGTCAATTAAAGCTAAACCACCATGGAAAACCTGAAAGTACTGGACTGCCCTTTCGTCCTATTGTGGGACTCCTCAACAGTGTGCATTCACGATCCCGCTTGCATGATTCGAGAGGTATTATCTGGAGTTCTAGTGAGAAGCCGTTACCAGTGGAGTTCAATCAGGTCTGTTACCAGATAGTAATTCAATGGTGGACGTGTCACTGAATTTCGTGATTTATTTGAAGTTAGACATTAACATTGTTAGATGACGGCCAACTCAGTGGCCTAGAAGTTAAGCATTCGCACGTAAGATTGATAGATCCTGGGTTGTAATCTCGCGAGGCGGGATTGTGGATGCACAGTGCTAAAGAGTCCCATACCAAAACGAAACGACTGTCCAGTATATCCAGGTGTTCCATGATAGTCTAACTTCAATTGACTCATGATCTCAACTATTGAAACAAAATAACATTCCCTAGAAACTATTTCACTAATATTTTATTCATTTATATTTTACTCAAACTAGTTCATAATATTACTATGACAAATATTATTCCATTCATATTCTATCATATATGAAAGGTTAGATAGTGATCATTATATTATTAATATAAAATAAGAGAATGATGAAGAGTTTTATGTTGTGAAATAAGTTAGATAAAAATTTGTTGTGAACTAAGTGACTGATATAATCAGTTTATTGAATCATTAGATTGATCATTGATAAATTGTTTGTTTATAGGAAATAATCCAAACTAATATTCTTTCAATATGAGAAACTGTTAGAACTTTACTTATAATTGATTAATCATAATTTATTATAAGTTTAAATAGATAACATTGGTCAAAAGAAGGCAACAAATAGATATGCACTATACAAATCATTTGATTTATCTGAAGAACGGGATACTGACCAGGTGCTCAAATTGAAACGGGTGATTTGCATAGAGGGCTACACTCCGAGCTTTTAACCTGAAGGTATAATCCATAAAACAGTAAAGCAACGTTAAGAGATTCAGTCTCATGGTAGCCGGTCACCAACAATAGGTTCGTACGCCTTTCGTTACTTTAGAATCCTGGAGCCCATATGATGTTTGGTTTAGAATCAGGGATTTTCAACCTCGATCGGTGGACACGCTGTATTCACCAACCCGGTTAGAGCGCCGGACATTCGCTTCTCGTCCTTTCAATTTCATAAATAACACCGCTGAGAGAAGGCAATGAGTAGAACTTCCCTGACAGTGGCTGTATAAGCGTGGTTATATGAGAACATTTAGTGGGGAAGAGATGACTCTTCCCATTCTCAACCTGACCACGGCACTTGGCGACAATTTCTGGTAATGATAAAATAGGACTAGAAAATATGCAGTTATCTTATATTACGTAAATATGACAGTTTCTGCAAGACATTAAGAATCTCTACAATGTTGTGATATAATCGTGAGTGAAAATTAAACAATACATTGAGCTCAATCATCATATACTCTTGCATATTTGTGTTTAGACCTATTTAACCTACGTGATAATATCTATTTTAAAACACAATGAAATAATCATTATCTTCCTAATCAGTTACTTGTCACTATGTTAATGGTTACTATAGAATACAACATTATTAGACAGATCAACTTCATCTATGTGTTTCTTCTTATAGATCAAACGGATTTCATACACGTGGTTAAGTTGTGAACGATTGCGGCATACAACGTTTCGTTTTAAGTATTTAATTTTAAGCAAATATTATGGCCATTAATGTTATTATTGACTGTAATAATAATAATAACTTGCAAAGATGGATAGTGGCTAGAAGTGGAATCCAGGATGCGCGACAATTCGTCCTACTTGTGACTCGTCAGTTGGACGTACCTGCATCTCAGAGTTGATGTTCACTCTGGAACTCAAACTCAGCACCGTTCGCTTCAAACATCATCGCATTATTCACTTAGCTATTGAGTCCTGATAGCCAATAAGGTGAAGTTTAAATTCATCTATGCATATAATGCTTGTGAATTAAGGCTAATATCGAGGCAATACGCACAGTATGCACATATGTCAATAACAGACTGATCAACTGCAATCTTAAATAACAAGTAAATCAACACCAAGTAAATTTAAGCTTCACCCCATTGCACAACCAAGTGGCTATCAAGACTCGGTAACTAAATGGATAACGCAATAACATTTAAAGTGAACGGTACTGGCTTCGAATTCCTGAATGAATATCAACTCTTAGATACAGATACATCTAACTGACGAATGTTAAACAAGATGAAACACTCATCCTAGATTTCATTGTTAACCACTATCACTTTGTTTACTTAAAAAGTTTGGTTAAACATTTATAAAAAGATTAATATCAGAAGGGGTTTTGTGGAGATCGTAGTAATTTTAATAGTTGAGATCATGAGTCAGTTGAAGGTAGACCACTATTGAAAACCTGGAAGCACTGGACAGCCGTTTCGTCTTATTGTGGGACTCCTCAGCAGCGCGCATTCACGTCCCCGCCTCGCGGGATTCGAACCAAGGACTAGACCACTGAGCTGGCCTGCCGGCCGGCCGGCATCCAACGGTGTTAATGTCGAACTTCAACTAATCCACGAAATTGAGCTACACATCCATCATTGTCATCAGTGAGTTACCACCTCACAACTGACCCGGTTGAACTCCACTGGTCACTGCTTCTCACTAGAACTCCAGGCCATCCAGTGCTTTCAGGTTTTCCAAGATGGTCTAACTTCAATTAACTCATGATCTCAACTGTCGAAACTTATAAAAAGTTATTTTTTCTTAAAAGAAAAAAGAGAAAAGAACAAACTAAAAAAATTGTTAAAATTTACAAATTACAATCTTTTACTTCATTCCTATTGGTTAAAATAAAGAAAAAACATTTTCAACCAATCAGAATGTTGATTTCATTGGGAAAAAAAAGAGAAAAACAAATAGAGAATATGGTTCATGACTTGTTTATCTACTTTTTTAAATTTTTTTTAATCACTAAGGCATTCACTAAACAACATATTTTCATTCATTTAACTTTTTTTTACATTCATAAAACAATATTGAACAAAAAGTGAAACGTATCAACAGCAATAACAAAGAAAAAAGAAGAGAAAAACAAGAGAAAATCATCAAAAAGAAAAAAAAATAATTTCATTCAAACAATGAATTATTATTCTGATCCATGATCAATGTTCATCAAAGATTCTGTTGTTTTCCTTCTTCTTTTTTTTTCTTCTTTTATGAAAGATCTATACTTCTATCATTGATTACATTCTTGTACAGTCTATGTATAAATATAAAGATCAGTGATTTGACTCAATGGTGAATGATGAAAATAGAAGAAAATTTCAGTTATATAACATTTGTACCATTATATGGTATATCACATTTATATATAACAAGTATAATATTAAGTATTATAATAATTTGTACAATTATTGGAAATATGTTTGTTGTCATTGCAATATTAATTGATAGACAATTACAAGTAAGTGTGTAAAATGTGTGTTGATGATACTTATCCTGTTATCATTTATGGTCTTGTACCCCCTATCAATATATATATATATATATATATATATATATATATGTGACGTAATCATATCGCTAATTAGAGAACCGTGAATTATCGATCAGATCAATGAGGTATAAAACAAGTACAAGCAGTCTAAAATCCTTATCGGTCCTTATTCCTGATTAACCTAGTCTGTTGAATCCAGAACACCAATCGCAGCTTTCGTGATATAAATCAGGTATTTCAACCATATTGGGTTGATATACCAACCAAACAGACCATATTGTATCATAACATGGATCTAGCCAAAAGTGACTGTGAATGTGGGAGGTAGTAATTGAGAGACTGGGTATAACTCAAGAAAGGTAAGTCGTATAATAATAGTTCATAGGTCAAAATAAAGCTTATGATAAGAGGAACACAAATATGAATAGTTTAATTACTTAACAATTATACAATAGAAATATATGTATAGTACTATTCCAAAAATATATTCCGACAGTTACTATTCATTATGCTTATCGGGATATAAACATAATCTCTCCCTTTCCCTCTCGCTCTCTGTTTATATCTCCGTATTCGTCATTTCTTTGATATACATTATTCAGAGAAAGGTTTTTTGTAGATATTATAGTAATTTGTAATCGTTGGACTCATGAGTCAATTGGAGCTAGATTACCATGGACAACCTGGAAGGTCCTGGTTTCGAATCTCACGAGGCCAGATCGTGAATATTCACTGTTGAGGAGGAGTCTTATACTAGGACGAAACGACTGTCCGGTACTTCCAGATTTCTCGTGGTGGTCTAGCTTCAATTGATTCATGAATACATTAAATTGTCTAATGAACTGGGATTAGTAATTTAGAGAATCGGAATGTTTCATTGAATTTGGACTATTGTTGCCAACTTTAAAGATAAATATTATTTTAAACATTATAGATTAATTGATTAGTCTCATTGATAATTACGGAAGCAACTGATCAGTCTCTTTTGGCATATGAATATCAACTCTGGAATGTAGATATATCTAACTGATGAGCTTCAAATAAGATAAAACGCTCAAACTGGATCGTATTACTTGCTGCTATCTAACTCGGTTTGAAAATTACCATCTATTCTTGCAAACAAATATATAATTATAATCAGAGAGGGGTTTTGTGGATATTATAGTAATTCAACAGTTGAATTCATGAGTTGATAGAAACTAGACCATGATTATATTCATCACATGCTCACTAGTGAATGGCTTCAAGTAGTATTTCCTAGAGTTCTAATGAGAAGTAGTGACCAGTAGAATTCAACCAGGTCTGTTGTGAGATAGTAATTCACTGAAGACAATGGTGGATATGTCGCTCAATTTCGTGGAATGGTTGAAGTTAGAGATTAACACCGTTTGATGCCGGCCAACTCAGCGGTCTAGCGGTTAAGCATTCGCGCGCGAAACCAATAGGTTCTAGTCTCGGATCTCGCGTGTGGCGGGATCGTGGATGCATACTGCCAAGGAGGAGTCCCATACTAGGATAAAAGAGCCTTCTAGTGGCTTTCAAGTTTTCTATATTGTTCTAGCTTCAATTGACTCATGAATTCAACTATTAAATACGTAATTGCACTGAGTTTGTGTACTCTGTTAAAGCTTCGGCAAAATAATAGGTTTCATTGATAAAGGTTTTCATGCCTTTGAAATCTACTAACTGCAATGGAATAATGTTCGCCTCATAATTATAAACATTCACTAAACAAATGAGCACCCTAAGTATACTAGCTTTACTTTGTCAAATATTTCTAGAGATCACTTTCGATGAATCAGTTATTATCCTTGAAAAAAACTTTAAATCAGTAGTCTAATGGTATTCCTACGTAAAGTACTAAGATGGATCGATCATATGAGCGCCTTATTCTGGCAAACTTAAGTCGAGATCAATGTAACTGTGAAATTTTCGCTTATAAACTACAGCCACTATCTGATTCTGAAGTCCGTATGCATGTTCTAGTGTGTATAGTATAAGATCCATTCATGAGTCTAAAAGATGGAACGGATGAATGCTAAAGTCCTGTGAATTTTAAACACAATGCACAACAGTAGAGAACATGGAAATGTAATGAACGTTTTTATCTCTGATTGAAGAAAAATCAGAAATTTCATAAAACCCTTGGTCGGTTAAGGAAGAAAACACGGCTTATTAATTGTCTGATGGTTGAGATCATGTGGATAGGCACTTATAGAAGTAAAAAGATGTAACTAATATTACCGATCCACTCTTTACATTTTCTGATGTAGAGAAATTCAAGTCAGTTTCTAATAAGAAATTCATTCAGTTTATATTGAGATATGGTTCACATGAATGGACATCATACTATTACTTCCCTTTACTCGTTTCATTATATGTGTATATTATGATCAGATGTAGAAGTCAAGATGAATACGTCGATGATGTTTACGGCCCTCCCCCCTCCTCCACATCTACGATCACAGTTGTCTAACATACATGAATTAAGAGAATATTCGATTGACAAATACATCACTTATTTCTAGTTTGCACATTTCAGGTTATTTCTACAATATCCATGTCAGGAGTAGTTCAATTGGTTTGTTTCATAAATGGAAATTAGTCTACATATAGATTTGAGAAGTTTTACAAAGTAGATTCAATATATCGAAATGTTATTTAGTACCTTAATGGAAGTTGATTTCGCAACTGCAAAGCTTAGTCTCAGTCTCACTGCTGCAGTGATGAATCATTATTCAGATGGAAGTATTTGATTGATGAGAGTATTATTTAAATGAAATACTTGTAGGATTGTGGTTGGTTGTATTGTGTGTTATGGTGTGCTTTGAATACTCATCCACATACAAGAAACATTGGTTTTCATTTTCCATTTGGAAAAGTGATACCGCAAATCGTTTTAATGTGTGTTCCGAATTTGGGTCGAGACAGAAGATTGACAATAAGTGAATGAGAACGTTGTGAAATGGAATTCATCATTTGTTCTAATGAAATCTGACGTGATCTATGTGTGTGATTAAGCTTAATGTTTTTGTAATTGTGGATGGTAAGATAATTGGTCTTTTTACTAGAACTCATATAATTGACCGAACGTTTGTGTGTGAACTGGATAAGCGTATTGAATCAGAGCGGTTGTTTCTTCACATTCGCGAGGTATGGAATGTCCACTTCAGTTGGTTTCATCTTTTATTTTATTTTATTTGAACACATAAATATTGGTGCGAAGGGTCACCGAATACATATGCGCCACACACGTCACTTGATTTGTTTGTGCGCTATGATGCTACCCGGATGCTCAGACCAAAGCAGGTGGTTTTCTTAGGGGACCAAACCCGGCGCTTTCAACCTAAAGATCTGATCGACAAAGTAGTGGAGCAACGTCAAGAGATGCAGTTCCATGGTAGCCGGTCACCAACAATAGATTCATATGCAAATTGTTCCCTCAGGATTATTGAGCTCATATGCACCACTAGTTTGGAATCAGAGTATTTTCAACTCCTCTAGGTGGATCCTCCATATCCACCAACCGGATTAAAGCTCCGAACATTCAATTTTCGTCCTCTCTATTTCTTAAACAACACCCCCTCCACGAGAAAGCAGTGAGTAGGTCTTTCCTGCCAGTGGCTATATACTCCTGGCCATATGAGAGCTTTTCGAGAGGCAGAGCTGACTCTTCTCACCCTCGGCCGTACTAGAGAATTTGAGGGTGAGACCACATATCTGAAAGATATCCATAGGTTTAAAATAAACCACATGATTCATGATCTTGTTAATTTAATACAAGAATATCGTATATTGGACAAACATCACACTCAGATAAATCAGTGTTATACCGAATAAACTATCACACTGAGTTTCATCTAAACAACCATTTATTTATGTTACTCACGTGCAAACAAACTGAGGATTATTTTCGAAGTGGTTTGGGGAGATACACTAGTACAACCATCATTTAAAGCCACTAATTAATGAACAAATGTTTAGCTTTAATATGAGACTTCTCAGAAGTTCTCACTCATAAACTCTCGATGAATCTGACTAATAACTTACCAATCTCTGTACAACAAGTGAGTATATGAAACGAGAGTGATAAATATTTCAATGTATGCATATCTACCAGTCTCAATAGACCTAGTTCTTGAAGACAATAAGAGATTTCTAGTGCAAAACTTTACCATTGCTACGTATTTATTTAATTATTATTTACACACGACTTAGTCTTTAATACCTTTTAACTTTTACCTTACAGATATGCAAAGTTTTCTGTTTTTCTCTTGTCATTCAGTTTCTAGCTCACTTACTTACTTACGCCTTTTACTCCTCGTTGAGGAGCATAGGACGCCCACCATCGGCCTCCCACTCTTTCGCGGGAGTTTCTAGCTTACTGACTAAATTTATTTTGCTCATGTAATATTTTGACAGAAAAGTGTGATAAAACTCAATGAAAGCTAAAACAAAAAGAGCAAGAACGAAAAGATTCTAACAGAATAGCTAGAATTCATTTTGTTTCGTCTGGTTCTCATCAGCTGCTTACAACCTGTGATATTTAAACCTTATAATTACATAATGGGTTTAAATTACTTACATGAGAGGGTATGCTTGGAAATTATATTAAAGACATTGGTATTGTAGATCACCAATGTCGATGATCTACGTTGAATGATCGGAGACCTACTCGAGTTAGATGGGAAAGGTGTGATGAACCAGCTATTTTCGAAGTCACACCTTGCGGTCACCATCTAACGTGGATTACCCCTTTGACGTATCAAAGTACTATGGCTGCTATGACGACTGTATAACACAAAAGACGTTATTATGAAAATTTATTAGCAAGAATGAGTACAGAGAAGATAGCGAGACCACCACCGCATATACCAGTCCATGACATACGATCAACTTATGCGCGTTGGCTATCCTTAACCTTTACGAGGATCGATGAGTTGTTCGATACTCAGTGACTCAACTGCCGGATGATTTAGCTAGGTCTCCGTGATATTTCACTGGCCCTACAGTATAGAATAGCAAGGGCGTAAATAAATTTAATAGACTGAATATTGTAAATTGTTACGTCCTTGATCTGTCTACCCACTTTTGGTGCTGAGGATAACTTGTCTAGTCTAGATTAAAACCTTGATGAGATAGGCTGACCGACTTAACCTTGAGGCTAGTACTTGTGAGTTGGAAGTGGGATAGATAGAAGAAAACTATTCTATCACCTGATTGATTGACTGACAAGCACGCGAGTGGGCGAAGGCAAGTCAACTGGAACACTAATCGATTTATTCTCAATTCCGATCTGGTTCCCGAATTTCAGATCAGTGTAAAGAGAGATACATGAATAAATGGATAACTAACCCAACCACAAAGTACAATCATTAGCATAGAAAATAGAGTACAAAATAATACCATAGCCTTGGAAGAAAAAGGGCTATGGCAGTGAATCATACATCAAATGAAAGCTTATGTTTGTAGAATAGACTAGGGACAAAAATAAATGTTAATATTTTACAAGCTTTGGATTAAATGAAATAACGTCCCGAAAAAATAGCTATCATAGTTTTTCAAGGGTTCTTGTTTCTCTGCTCACGTCATAAATATATACCATATATGGTGAAAGAACATTCTATAACATTGATCGTGACAACAGTTCAAATAACCAGAAACAAACAGTGCAATTACCAAAGATCTCCTTGATATAAGACATCAGGTCGATACCTTACAATCCTTTAAGATGATTATTAAGCAACCAAACTCCAGTCTTCTGATGTTTTTGATTGAGATTATAAACCGATTGATGTTGGACCACTGTTGGAAACCTGGAAGCACTGGAAAGCCGTTTCGTCGTAATATGGAACTTCTTAGCAGTGCTTATCCATGATCCCGCTAGCTGGATTCGAACCCAGGGCATACAGTCTCGCGCGCGATGTTTGCTGAAGCTGTTGCCATCAAGCGTCAAACACATGAGTTATATGTTCAAAAGGAGATGATTAATAATCTTTCCTTGCCTTGGTGACAAATATTCGTTCGTTGCATCTTAAAATGCTTCTCATTTTTCTTTAAACTATTTTTTGCATTTATTACTTCATTGAGTTTTATTTCAACTATCTTCCAAATTAATAATCTTATTTTATCAACTGAATTTTACTCACTATATTTACACTCATTATATAATCACTTGTGTTCTGTCCGTTTGAACTATCGTCACAATCAATATTGTAGAATGTTCCTTCATAACATAAGGTATATTGTCAGAATGGGTTTTGTGGAGATTTTAGAAACTTCAATAGTTGAAATCATGAGTCAATTGAAACTAGACCACCATGGAATACTTGGAAGCCCTGGGCGGCCGTTTCGTCCTAGTATGAAACTCCTCAGTAGTGTGCATCCACTATCCCGCCCCGTAAGATTCGAACCCAAGACCTATCAGTATACATTTACAATATCCAGTCTATCCAATTTATTTACATCTTTGCTATACTATACTACTATGTTTTCAATATAACTTCTAACCAATCGCTCTCATATTAGTAATTTAAACCCATTATGTAATTATAAGGTTTAAGCATCACAGGTTGTAAGCAGTTGACAAGACCCAGATGAAGTAAAATGAATTCTAGCTATTCTGTTAGAATTTTTTTGTTCTTGCTCTTTTCAAAATGGTAAAGGGAACTATATGTATGAAAGTTCTCAAAAAAGGAAACCGCCTCCTTGCACTATATTAAATTATTTCTATGTCATAATTAGTTTTATCCATTGTATTCACTTCCTCCTTTCGTTTATTTTACAGCGGGTTTCTAACTATCTAATATTGAGTTTAGCTGTGGCTGATTTAATGGTTGCAATATTAGTTATGCCAATTAGTGCCTTAAATGAAGTTTCAAAGAAATGGTGGCTTGGTAAGTATTCTATTCACATATAGATATATAGATAACTTTCTCAATTAACTATTCCTAATAATTTCAGTAGTTGAAATCATGAGTCAATTGAAGATAGACCACCATAGAAAACCTGGAACTACTGGATGGCCGTTTCGTTCTAGTATGGGACTTCTCAGCATTGCCCATTTATGATCCAGCCCCTCGCAAGATCCTAATAATTCCCAATAATCATCAATCCTTTAGGAATACCTCAAGTAACTCAAAGATTATTTAGTAAATACTAAGAAGAACTAAAATACTTATCCAAACAGAAAGATTAGAAGATTTCGAACTTTTAATATACAGATATGATGTTTTAAACTAATCAACGAAACATTCATTAAATAGAATATGATACAAAAGAAATAACATTTGAACGGTATGATTTAGTCTCTTTGAAATCAATGTTTGTTGTGAACTAATGTTCATTTTTAGGAAAAGACTTTCTTATTTATGGATGACTGATTCAAAACGTGGATTTCAAGAAAGATTTCATTAAAAAAAGGTGTTTCTTCAATAGTTGGATTCATGAGTCAATTAAAACTAGATTAACATCGAAAACCTGAGAGCAGTGGGCAACCGTTTCGTCCCAGTATGGGACTCCTCATTAGTGCATATCCATGACCCCGTCTCAAGAGATTCGAACCCAGAACCTCGCGCGTGAACACTGCACCTCTAAACCACTGAACTGGCCGGCATTGAACTGTGTTAATGTCTAACTTCAATTAACCCACGAAACTACGTCATCGTCCACCAATGTCTTCAGTGAGTTACTTCCTCACAACCGACCTGGTTGAACTACACTAGCCACTGCTTCTCACTAGAACTCCAGGAAATACTAATTAAAGCCAGTCACTAGTGAGCATATGTTGATTAATACCAGAAGGGGTTTCTGTAGATATTATAATTTCAATAGTTTATATCATGAATCAGTTGAAGCAAGACTACCATGGAAAACCTTGAAGCACTAAACAGACGTTTCGTTCTATTGTGGGACTCCTCAACAGTGCGCGTCCACAATCCCGCCACGCGAAATAACAACTCAGGACCTATCAATCTTGCATGCGAATGTTTAGTCTCTAGTCCACTGAGTTGGCCACCGTCCAGCAATGTTAATGTCTAACTTCAAATAATCCACGAAATTGGGCGACACCTCCACCATTGTCATCAGTGAATTACTATCTCACAACAGACCTGGTTGTACTCCACTGGTTACAGCTTCTAACTAATAAACAGTTTATATAATTTGTACTTATTATAACAAATTTAACTGGATATATTTTTAAATACGATAAGCTAAAGTGTTTACAATATATAATAGGGTCAGTAAGTTATTTAGACAACTGTTTCCATCTTACAAAGTCAAATCGATTAATTTTAATATATATCTTTAATATTTGGAATGTATTTACAACATTATAAGCAATGATGGATAGTGGCTGGCAGTGGAATCTACGATTCGCGTTTCGTCCTATTTGAAACTCATCAGCTGGACGAAACGTGTGTTCTGAATTCCACTACTAGCCAGTATTCATCCTTGATTATAATGCTTGTGAATTAAGGCAATATTAATGTAATTTATACAGTATGCACATATGCCAATAAGTGAATGATCAGTTACAGTTCTCGATATCAATGGGAAGATTGAAGTAAACAATACCAAGTGAATTTAAACTTCACCCCATTGCACAAGCAAGTGGCTATCAGGACTCAGTAGCTAAGTGGATGATGCGATTACGTTTGAAGTGAATGGCACTGAGTTCGAATACATGAGTGAACATTAACTCTGAGATGCAGATACATTCAACTGACGAGTCCCAAATAGGACGAAGCGTTGCGCATCCTGGATTTTACTGTTAGCCATTATCCATCTTTGCTTATAATGCTTGTGAATTAAGGCAATATCGATGCAATATTCACAGTATGCATTATTATGTCAATAACAGATTGATCTATTGCAGTCCTAAATAACAATGGGAAGATACAAGTAAAGCCCCCAAATGCATTGGTATGGCCAAGAGTGGGGAGAGTTCGCTCTCCCTCTCGAAATGCTCTCATATGGCCACGCGTATACAGCCTATGCCAGGGAAGTCCTACTCATTGTCTTCTCATGACGGAGGTGTTGTTCACGAAATTGAGAGGACGAAAAGTGAATGTTCGGAGCTTTAATCCGGTTGGTGGATATGGAGGATCCACCTAGAGGAGTTGAAAATATCCTGATTCCAAACTAGTGGTGCATATGAGCTCAATGATCCTGAGGGAATAAATGGCTTATGAATCTATTGTTCGTGACCGGCTACCATGGAACTGCATCTCCTTACGATGCTCCACTGCTTTGTAGATAAGACCTTCAGGTCGAAAAATCCGGGTGTGGCCTCTTAAGAAACCACCTGCTTCAGTTTGGACACCCGGGGCTGTATCACGGCCCTCACACAAATCAAATGTGATTTATGTGACACATATGTATCTGATGGCCCCTTGTACCAGTATCTATGTGTTAAAATAAATAAACAAAATGAGTTATCTGAGTATGAATGATGTTTATCCATGATATGATATTCATGTATTAAATTAACAAGAAGTATGCATAAGATAATCAGACACCATGTGATTTGTTGTAACTCTGGGCATTTTTCGTATAGATATGTAATTTCATCCTTATTCATAATCAAAATGGATATATAATCAATATATGTAAATGAGTGTATTTTTCAATTAGGTTGGTCATTATGTTTTAGGAGTTAATCAATGTTCATAAGTACCAGTTTCGATGTTCTTACTTTGCATTATGACGATTATAATGGTTCGCTGTTTTACAACTATAAGTAATAAGGGATTCGGATGTATCATTCAGTGATGATCAAACACACTAGTTTCTTAGATGAAATTTCCCATTTTCAGTAGGGGGAGTAGTTTTAAACCTATACACTTTCAAAGGTTATGTTGACTATATAAATATTTAAATATTGGCGTATTTTTGAGTAAAACACAATGATTCACTACAACCAAACTCATTGTTAAATTCACTTGATATTGTTTACTTGTATCGTTCCATTATTGTTTAGGACTGTAATTAATTAGTCTCTTGTTGACATATGTGAACATTAACTCTACGATGTATGTACATCTAGCTGATGAGTCCGGAATAGGATGAAATCTGCGTCCTGGATTCCACTGCTAGCCATAATCCAAACTCATTGTTATTGAGGAAAAAAATCTAATATCCATACTTAACTATAAGGATAAACTGGATGTAATCGACTATATCACATCCCACTATCTACTGGTTTATATATGTGTATGGTCACACTTGTTCAGGGAGGAGTGATCACGATTTGTAACTTATAGTAGTTGAGCATGTATTACAATGGCTACAAAATAAGTCAAATGATTTAAAAGGATTTTTTCTTCAAATGACAAACACAGTTGAAATAAGTTGATCAGTGAGACTTGATTAGTGAAGTTTGTCAAAGCCATTGACACACGGAAATTCAATTCAAACACCTTGTGTGTACTTACAATGAACTTGCCTTGGTGAAATTGATTTGTTTTTTTAGAGTAATGTGATTCATTTTGTTTTCATTTTTATTTTCTAATAAGTCTGATTTTTTACTGAGATCATGAACCGATTGATGTTAGACAACCATTGAAAACCTAGAAGTAGTGGACGACTGTTCCATCCAATTTGTGGAACTCTTCAGTAGTGCGCATCCACGATCCCGGTCTGATTTAAACATTACTTTTAAATTCTTGATAAGTAAATATGGGATCAGAGTGTTCGAAGCGTATTCACGTTAATAAATCACTTAATTCTAATAAATTTCCATTTTCTATTTTTAATTTTTTAACCTAATTTATTTCATAGTTGAATTCATGAGTCAATTAAAGTTAGAGCCACATGGAAAACTTGGAAGCTACTGGACGATTTCTTCGTCCTAGTATGGGACTCCTCCTTGGCAGTGCGCATCCACGACCCCACCTCGCGGAATTCGAACCCAGGAATTATCAGTCTTGCATGCGAGTGCTTAACGGCTTGACCACTGAGCTGACTGGCGTCCAACCATGGTAATGTCTAACTTCAACCAACCCATGTAATTGTACCACTGCCGTAGAATACCGGCTCAGTCATCTAGAAGTTTATCGTTCGCGTGCGAGACTGTAAATTCTGGGTTCAGATCTCACAATTGGGATCGTAAATGAGCATTGTTAAATAGTCTCATCCTAGGACGAAATGGCCATCCAGTGCTTCCTTGTTTTTTATAATGATCTAGTTTTAATTGACTAATGAATTCAATCATTAAATTACTACATTCTCCACAAAATCCCTTTCTGATAATTGAGTTCGAACAATTTTTTGTTTCAATGATTGAGATCATGAATCAATTGAAACTAGACCATCATGGAAAACCTGGAAGCAATGGACAGCCGTTTCGTCCTTTTGTGGAATTCCTCACCACTGCGCATCCACGACCCCCCCCCTAGTGAGATTCGAACGCAGGACCTATCAACTCATAGTTACTTACACTATATTCTAGTAACTGTAACTAAATATATTGAATAATCCTCACTATTCGTTTTTAATCAGGGGTGGGGGGAGAGAGATCTAGTCAAATAATGAACTGTATCCCTTTTTGACATAATCATCCTAATATGTTTTTCTCTCATTAAAAATAGGTATACCATTATGTGATATATGGATAATAATGGATGTATTATGTTGTACTGCATCTATTTTACATTTAGTTGCTATAGCAATTGATCGTTATTTAGCAATAACCCGTATTAATTATATAAGAGAACAAAAACAGAAACCAATTTATATCATGCTTATGATAATATGGTTATTATCATTAATGATTTCATTACCAACACGATTTCATCTAACAAGAAATGATCATTTTCTATATAATGAATGTAATATTAATAAAGATTATCTATTTACAATATTCTCCACAGTGATTGCATTCTATTTACCAATGATCTTTTTAATTGGTATCTATGTGAAAATTTATCAAGTTGCTAAGAAACGTATTAGGAAAAGATCATTACGTGGTTTATCTTCAATCACAAGAGAATCATCGATTGATTTATATAATAAAAAAACTATTGAACATAATGATCATGATCAAGATCTAGATCAAGATCATAGAACTAATTATAAACATTTCTTTAAAAGATGTTCATTATGTATAAACAATCTTTTATTTAATTGTCCATTTAAAACAATCATAGAAACGAATCCATTACCTAGAAGTAATGAATATTTAGATATGATATCAACTAGTTTAGAGAAAGAAACATCATCACCATATTTTAGTTCAGATACAATTGAATATTGTGAAAAATATGATAATATGAGTATTTATTCACATGATATAAATCAACAGAATATAATTAGATCTTCAATTGAATGTATACATAATGAAGAACTGAATAAGAATAATGTATGTGATCCTTATTTTGATCCAGATCATATTATCGATCATAATGATTACTTAAAACAAATAGTAGTATCTAATAGTAGTATATCTTATTCAATGAATAATAATAATAATAATGATTATTGTCTTACTCATAATCTATCCCCATCTGATATAATCAACACTGATGATGATGATGATGATGTTATTGAAATCAAACAGATAGATGATAAAGAAATAATAAACAAATCAATTATTGAGATGAATGATCATTTGAATAAAATCAATAATCAAACTAAATTCATACAATCCAATCAAAATTCAAAGAGAATACAATCACAATTACAATCTATTACAAGTCCTATTCTATTATTTGATTTCGATGATAAAATCACCAATCATTTGATAGATTCACATCAACCATTATGTAATTTTATTGATCCATCTATTGATCCAATCAAATTACATCATAAAGATGATCATTCTAAACGTGGTAGCATAGAAACAAAATTATATCCAATATCACCGTATTTATCATCCACTGATAGTTTAATGAGTATCTATTCCTATAATATTATACCTTATAAACAATCATTAGATCAAATAAAACCACCATTTTGTTATGATCATTATGAAACTATAAATGATCATGTTACAATAATGGATCCTAATCAAATTGATCCTATTCATATACAAACTTCTACTCCTATTCATATTATTATTATTACTACTACTACTACGACGACGACGACTACGACTACTAATACTACTACTACTACTACGACGACGACTAGTACTACTACTAATACTACTAATAATAGTCATAGTACTAGTAATACTACTAATAATAGTATATTATATTCATCTAAATTGATCAATATGAATAATATTGAATTATATCGTGAACGTATAGAATGTCATCGTGAAAGTAAAGCCGCTAGAACATTATCGATTATAACTGGTTGTTTTTTATTATGTTGGTTACCATTTTTTTTACATACACTTCTAATACCATTTTGTTTACCACAATGTAATTTAAATCATTTTATAAGTAGTATATTTTTATGGTTAGGTTATTTAAATTCATTATTAAATCCAATTATATATACAATATTTGCACCGGATTTTAGAAATGCTTTTAAAAAAATTCTTTATAGTATATTGAATACATTGAATGTAAAACAATGACATATAAAAAGATTAATCTGCTTGTTTTTTGATAGATTCTCTTTTTCAGATCTTATCATTCTGTTATATTTGAAATGATTACAAGTTCATCTAGTCTATGAATGGAATAAACGCTTTGTGACCAATAATCAATTAAGCGCCTGGCGGGAGACGGATAGGTCCTGGATTCGAATCTCGCAAGTCAGGATAGTGGATGCGCACTGTTGAGGAGTCTCACAATAAGACGAAACGGCCGTCCAATGCTTTCAGGTTTTACATGGTGGTCTAGCTTCAATTGACTCATAATTTCAACCAGTGTAGTAATCAATAAGTTAGTTATTCTGATGCGTCCCAGCCCTCGTTAACCACAGTGAAAGAGAGAGAGAGGTGATCGGATGGAATATCTTCGGCTCCTTCTGAGCCTCTTACAGCTTCCTCGAGTTCACCCGTGGTCCGTCTTCACACCTTCCCCCTTTAGAGTCTGTTGTGTAAGACTTTCTCGGATCCACCTGAAACTTGGTTGTCATATTCCTCTTGCGGTTCACCACTCTCGAGGGTTGTACTGCTTTGCCTTTGCATCATTTATCTCTTCTATGTTTGCGCTCCTGAGGGCTTTTCTGAGATGAATCCACGAGCAACTGAAATAGGAGTCGGCTTTCTGGGACCACTGTACTGCCGTCTCTTTGCATTTGATTTATATTTCTTATACATTTTCCGACATCTTCCCGGGATAGGTACAGTACATTTCCTATTCGACGTTCTATGACACCTGGTTCCTACTTCCTATTACCTTGATACAAATTGACAAGTACCTTTTCACCCACCTGGAAGCTACGAGTGACCGTACGATACTCATTCGTGCATTTACTTCTCTTTCTGGATGGCAACATACTGTTAAAGACTGTCCGGAATTCCCTTCCGAACATACACTCAGCTGGTGACTTTCCTTCTGGTACTGCCGGATTAGGGGTAACTCTGTGAGATATTAGGTACTTGCTGATCACCTGTTCTGGGATACCCTCACTTCCCCCTCTGACCACAGCTCTTTTTATCGTATCCACGAATCTTTCTGCTTGTTTATTTGACTGAGGATGGTACAGAGGAGATTGTAGATGCAATATGCCATTTTCGCCACAGAAGAGTTTGAAAGCGGATGACATAAACTGAGTGCCGTCGTCGGTCACTAAGATCTCTGGAACCCCCAAACAAGCAAATAGTCCTGACAATCTTATTATTGTACTCTCTGAATTCGTTTTCGGTATGTCATATACTTCTGGCCATTTAGTGAAAGCATCGACAACAACTAAGTAATTTCTGCCTTGCATTGGTCCGGCGAAATCAGCGTGTATTCTTTGCCAAGGCCCGTCCGGTCTTATCTATGGTTGTGGTTCAGCTTTCGTTGGATTCTTCGCAGCCTCTAGACAGGACCATCAACTGAGACATTTTTGTTCTATATCATGGTCCATTGACGGCCAGTATGCATAGCTGCGACCTAGTAATTTCATTTTACTTATCCCCGGGCGCCCGCTGTGGAACTGCCTAATGACTTGGTGTCGAGGATTTCTTTATTGGCTCCAAATGTGGTCAGGAGTCCGGGAGCGGCGTCTGCCAATACCTTGTGAACCTCAGCCTCAACATCTATGGCAGCTGCAAGCACCTCCTCTTCTTGTTTTGCATGCGAACCACTTCATCTTGAGAGGGCATCTGTCTGTCCAAATTCCTTGTCGGTTGATACTTTATCTTGAAATCATAACCCAACAGTGTAGATGTCCATCGCTGTAGATGGTTTTATGTATATAGAGGGATACCATTTTTGGATCCAAAAACTGTCAGTAGCTGTTTATGGTCTGTTAGTAAGGTGAAATGTCTGCCAAACGGCATCTTTTGGAACTTTTTTACAGTGAATGTGATAGAGAGGGCTTCTTTCTCTATCTGACTGTAGTTCTTTTCAGTTATAGTCCGCGATCTTGCAGCGTGAGCGATTGCCTTCTCAGACCCGTCAGGGTAGGTATGTAGAATTACTGCTCCGATTCCGTAGTTTGACACATCTGCTGCGACTATAATTGGAAGATCTGGACCATAGTGTATAAGTAGAAGGTTTGATGATAGGGGCTGCTTTAATTTCAGGAATGCTTCCTGGCATTCGGTTGACCAGAACCATTTGGTATGTGTTTTCAGTAAACGATTAAGAGGAGAACGAAGGCGATGCAGATCTGGAAGAAAAACACCATTATGAATAAACATTCTCAAGAAAGAACGTAAAGTTGATACATCCGTCGGTGGAGGCATGGACTTAATAGCTTCGACGTTTTCAGGATCAGGTTTTCTTCCGTTTCTATCGATTACGAGTCTCCAATAGCGGACTTGCTCCATGTAAAAATCACATTTTTCAGCACGCAAATCTGAACCTGTAATCTGCTATGCGTCTGAGAACCGTGTCCACCTTATTTTCCAAGTCAGCATAGTCTGTACCCATGATCAGTATGTCATCGAAATAGGCCGCGGTACCAGGAATGCCTGGTAACTTAGTATCCAGAACTTGTTGGAAGATTGAAGGGGCGGTCTTTGTTCCAAAAGGAAGTCTGTCATATCAGAACAACCCTTTATGAGTGTTTATTGTCAAGTAATGCTTACACTCTTCTGCTACTGGAATCTGTAGACAAGCTTTCGATAGGTCTAATTTTGCAAAATACTTACCCCCATTGATAGGCTTCAAGTGCTTCGTTTAATCCAGTCGAATAATCTGGCTTTTCGACAATCACTGTTGATGTTGCCCAATCAGAAAAGTTTACTGGTTCTATTATTCCACTTTTTTCCAGAGCCTCTAATTCTTGTTCAGCAATAGGCAGTGCTGCATAGAGTACCGGACGTTTTGATCTGAAGACGGGGGTGACTCCCGGTTTAAGAATCATTAGTGCTTTGACCTTTTTGTACTACCCTAATTCTTCCGTAAACACTTGACAATGTCTTTCCAACGCAACATCCTTCAGATCCTTTTCCACTGGTTTATTGGTTCTCACGGCACTGCATATGTGGTTAATGGAATGATTTGCTAATTGTAGTGTTCCTATTAGGTCTAGACCCAGCAAATCTAGTTCTGGGTTCTCTGTGAGATATAACGTTGCATTCGTCTTCGCATTTCCTTTTGAAACTGTACAACAGAATTTACATTTTCATACTCTTGAACAAGCTTCTTAACGTGGCTAAACAAAGGTTTGATGAAGAAAGTGAACAACTTGATATTGGCTCATTTAGTATAAACTGGTCATAGTGCCAGTATAAACTAATCTTTTTTAATTATTTATAGGGTTAGTAATTTTTTTGCCAAAACTTGTCAGAATAAAAGACCTTCAGACAGCTGAAGTAGGTAATAGCCATTCGGATATGAAGAAACAGGAGCTATGCATACAAAAGAAATATCTTCAAACAATTCTCCTCCTCCCCTGGCCAACCTCAAGGCCAATGAATCAACAGTAATCTTAGTTATTGAATAACCTAATTTGACTACTGTATTTACGAACTCTCAACGAATAAGTTTAAAGTAAATCCAACGTTTTGTTTGACAATCTTACAATTCATATTTCTTTAAACAATAGATACTTTACCACAATTGATTGATCACTGGGTGGTGATCAATGTCATATGTGTCAGGTCTTTCTTAGTGTAGATCGAATGCTATCGATCAAGTTGCAATGTGGCCACTAGTCTAGGTGACTCAATACTGCGTACACTATGTTGAGACTAGATGGTGGTTGAAGGTAGTCAACAGGAAACCTTGGACCCGAATTTCGTTCTTTTTGGCACTTGTCAGCAAGGTGTACCTGTAATCTCGATCTGCACTAAATAAGGACTTGATAAACATTACATTGATCACCACCCAGTGATCAATCAATTGTGATTACATATCAGTCCTAAAGGAGATCGGTCGAGGCCCGGATAGCCCAGTACTAACGTCTATGACTGTGAAGCTGGGTGACACAAGATCGAATCCGTCAGGGAGCATCAGTTCCCTCAAGATTACAGATACACCTTGCTGACTACTGCCAAGTAGTACGAAACCCGGATCCAGGATTTCCTGTTAACTACCTCCAACCACGATCTAATATACTTTATCCTTAACCTGATCATTTTTGGGGGATTATTCATTTGGATATATGATTTGTGGAACCTGAAGAGAATTGATCGAAAAGAATATTCATCATTCATAGATCACTCTTTTAATATGACGAAGATTTTCGAACGAAAAAATAAAAATAAAAACATCGTTACATTTCTTTCAAATGTAGTTCATTTCTATTTTATTGCCTTTGATCCTAAGTGACTATCGATTGATAGAGGGAGAGAAAGAGTGGGAAATATAAATTTTATTATGATCTAATTGATATGTTTGATGAAATCTATTGAAAGTACTGGACATCTGTTTCGTCCTAGTATAGGACTCCTCCTAGGCAATACGCATCCACGATCCTACTTCGTGAGATTCAAAACCAAGGACCTTTGGTCTCTCGGACGAACATTTCATCTTTTGACCACTTAGTTGGCCGGTATCAAATAATGTTAATGTCAACTAATCCATGAAATTGTGCCACAATCTTCCATCATTATTCTTAATATTCATGTTACTTGGTTTATTTTCTTTCTATTTCAATTATTAAGAAGAAGAAGATAATTGTTTCATATATTCAAGATTATTAGTCTATTTGTTACAAGATAAAGTAAATTATAACAGATGAAGTTAATCAATTGAACTTGATATAGAAAGTAGAATAATTATGATAATTATTCAAATTGAATTGAATTCATTGAACCCGTTCATTGTGGACAACTCTGTCGTCAAATAATTCAATATAAATTCAACAAGGTCATATAATCATTGATTTGTCTTAGCAACTAAGATATAGAACAGTTTAATAATACCCCCCCCCGCACACACACACACACACACTTAGAAAAGAAGAATATTTGAATGAACAATGATTTGGTCATCAGGCTCTACAGCTTAAAGTCTATATATTTATATA